CTGTCTCCCTGAAGGTGCACCTGGGTCATGCAAGAGCCCCCCAGGGAGCCAGCTTCAGGAGGTTCCAGAAAGTTTGCCTGCGGGACTCCTGTCACGGAAAGGAACAAGCTTTGGAGCTGCAAGACTTGGTTGAAGTCCTGATTATGGCTTCTAAATCTTTTTACATACAATACAGGAGAGATAGTACCTACTTTAAAGGGTGTTGTGAAGAGCACTAAGACAACATATGTGAGGTCCCCGGTGTAGAAAGGGCTCAATAAATGTTGGCCTCTGCCTCCCCTCAGCCTGGGGCCCTGGGTTTGCCTACGTGATACACATACTGAAAAGAGCTCAGGCCCAGGACCAGTCAGACCCGGGTTCAAGTCCTGCTCTGACCCTTCCCAGCATAGCGACCTCCAGCAAAATAGTCAGAGTCTCGACGCCTTGGTTCCTTCACTTGAAACAGGAGGACACGAGCTAACTCTCAGGAGTCCTGAGGACTAAGCCAGACAATGAATATCAAGCACTTAGCCCAGTGTCAGGCACACAAAAGGCACTAAGCAGCCTCTCTGTGGTTTTCCTCTCATCTTTAAAGTGGAGACAGTTATAACACTTCTCAGACTTATTATGTCATTCAAACAAGATATTTTATATACAAGTGCTTTAATTGCAAATGTTTGCAGAAACTCTCATTATTTTGTGAAGGGACTTTATTTAAGACATTACCAACCAAGCATATGCTCACCCTGCATGAAATCCTTCCCATAACTCTTGTCGCCATGCTTTAGATTCTACTAATTAGAGATTCATTTAGGTTAACAAGCTTTTGTTTTAACATGCAGATGCCCACGGAACTAGTTATGTCAGAGTAGCGAGAGGAAAACCCTGGAAAACCTCTTGGGGCTTGTTGTTTATGCCTCATGTACTAAGACTCCCTTTGGATTCCAGACTATTGGCTAAATTAGGCAGGGCTGTTGCTTACAGTTGAAAAAACTGCATTGCACAACTCCAGGGGGACACTGTGTGCTTCACTGATTTGCAGTGGTGATGTCACAATTTTCCAGCAGATGGTAGTAAAATGTGCAGAGTAATCCAGCTGTTCTGCACCAAAATGGCCTTTAGCTTAGAAATGCAAACTTTATTATTATTATTATTTATAATGTAAGGGTTAGTTTGAACTTAGAATAAGTGTGATTGATTAGTTAGAATGAAATGGAGAAGTGAGCCAGCTGGGCAAATCTGGGGGAGTCGATAAGAACAGTAGCTCCACCCAGCCCATAGAGAAAACTTGCACCTCTCCTTTGGGGCGGGAGACCCACAACCCCTCACTGCTCCATCCTTGGTGAGAGACCTGCTGAGGGATGGGCTGTCCTCCCCCAGGTGGAAGAATAGAGACAAGCATGTAAGAGAGGCAGAATGGTGTAGACTAGGGCAAGGAGGCAGGCATGGCACTAGCTATGGACCCAAATCCGCTTCTCAGCTGCGTGGCTTGGGCAAGTCACCTCAAATCTCTCTGCCTCCGTTTCCACTTTTGAAACGATGGGAGAATACTCCCTACCTCACGGGGTAGTTGTGGGAATGGAAGGAGTGCCTGGCTCAGGGCCTGTGAGTGCTAATGTTAGTTCTTATGCTCATTCGACCGACAGGCTGTGGAAACAGGCTCCTCCCTGGCTCCTGCTGAGCGTGAGGGAGACTGGCTGGCACACTCTGGCTCCAGGACAGAATCTCTTTCCCCTGCCTCTGGATCAAGGGTGATGAGAGGCATTGATAAGGTGAGAGTGCAGGTCAATCTCAAAGTGCGCTTGCGTGTGTGTGTGTGTGTGTGTGTGTGTGTGTGTGTGTGTGCCCGTGCGCGTTGGCACTGGCCACACCAGAAGTAAAAGAACCCGAGTCAGATCTCTGTCCAGGTGTGTGAACTAAACATGTGTCACTAACAGCATCACTCACACCTCACACCTCTGTATGAATGTTTAGTCGGTCCCCATTCCCTAGAGGAGGCCTAAAGGGCATTTGGATAATAGAGGTGAGTGACAAGAAGGGTAGTTTTGGAACAGGAAGCTTCCCTGAAAGGCCAAGGCAGAGGCTTCCAGGTAAACTGGCCCCTCAGGGGTGCAGGGGTGCGGGGGAGGGAGAAGGGAAGATGCACAGGAAGGAAAATAATTGAGACAAAGTGCCTTTTAAGAACCTGTGATCAGTCCTCATACTGGCCTTGCTTCATTCCCAAACCCAATTCTTTTTTTTTTTTGGCTGAACTTAGAGTGAAAAGTTAAAAGCAAAGAGAATTGGCTTAAGAAAGATTAAATATATGATGTGCAGATTATGGTCTAAATATTTTTGTATATCTTGGATCTCTATTTTTAGAGAAAAGATCTCTTCTGCTAGGAGGCTCTGTATGACTGGTGTTGAAGAACTTGCTCAAAATGCAAAGCTAATTTATGCATTGCCGGTTTTGTGGATAATTTAACTCAACCAGTGATCTGCTTGCTCTTTAACGCCAAAAGGAACTTGGGATTCCTTGGCTTTAGGGGACTTTTTCTCCATGTTCCACAGGCCAAACCATTTCTCCCTGGATGGGCATTAAAAATTGAAGGCTTCAGACTGACCCATATGATTTTGCAGAATGAATTCTCACATTAGTATGAGTTGGGTTTGAATATGTGAACAAAATTTCTACAATCCATTTTTTTTAAACACACACAACAGCAGCTTTATCGAGGTATAATTTACATGATATGAAATTCACTTGTTCCAAAAGTATAGTTAAGTCATTTTTAGTGGATTTATAGCGTTGAGTAATCATCACTAAAATCCAAGTTCAGAACATTTCCATCACCTCAAAAACATCCCTTGTTCCCGTTTGCTGTTACTCTGCATTCCCACCTCCAGCCCCAGGTAATCACTGATCTACTTGCCTTCTTTGTAGATTTGCCTCTTCTGGAAATTTTCTCTGGCTTCTTTCACTCTGCCTAATATTTTTGAGGTTCATCCAGTTTGTAAATCCATCTTAATATCCTGAAAAAACTGGTTGGTTCAGCCATTCTGTAAACTGGAAACTTACCATTCCATTGAAAGCTTACATGTTTTCCCTAGCCTTTGGGTCCCAAAAGCCAGAATGTGACCTTCCCCTAGCAGCTCACCCACTAATCAGTCCCAAGCCTCATACCCTCAAATCTTGGCCTACTAAACATCACAAGGATGACAAGCATCCAGTTTTTCTCCAAAACTTTAGAATGGCTATACCTGAATTTCTTTTTCAACAAGGAATGTTTGTTTCCTTCATAAGGACCTAGGCATATACTAAACCTTGGCAGCCAATAATCCATGCATTTTGGGATTACAATCCCAAGGAATAAACCTGATTTTTCAAAATAATTAACAACCCTTCCAGTTTTTCCAAAAAATTTAAGGGGGTAAATTTTCTGGCTAAAATTATTACCTATCTCAGTCCTTCAAAGATTTAGCTTCAAAAGCTACACTTAGCAGAGCCATGCTGCTGCTGCGACAAATATTTGAGGAATTCCTCTTTGGGATTATAATCTGCGCAGAGGAGTCAGTGGTATGACCTTGAAACTAGTGGTCTTGTTGGGCCACAATTAGGACACAGTTATCGCCTCAACTACCTTGAGCATTAACTTTAGGTGCCAACCTTAAACTCAAGGATCTGGGCTATTTTAAAATGTTGAATCCACGCTCAAAAAGGTAGAGATTGAGCATGATTACAAAGAGGCAAATGGACATGTCACAGACTCTAAAGAGTTTCTCAGTGAAATTCAAAGAACGTTTTGTTCAGCGGAAGCACTGTTAGAATCAGGTCATGGGTGACCACCTCAAAGAGAACCACCAGCTCATCTGTACATTTCAGGTCTGACATGTATGTAAATTGTGCAAAAGCTAAAGGAAGTTTGGGAGTCTATTAACCTACCCATAGAAAAGTACATAATAATATGATGTCCTCTTCATCTTCAGCTTACCTGGTACTTCTCCCTTCCCTCTATAATTCAGTCATGTCCCACTCAAGTCATAATGGTCAAACAGGAGCATAGCTTAAAAAGATAGGAGGGGACCACCCCCAAATCAGGAGTCCACAAGATCAAAAGTCATAAAAGTACCTAATAGACCTTGGCCATTGACAGCTCCTGTGCTAGTTCTGAAGGAGCTGGAACTTGAATGCCTTCTGGGCCAGACATTTACCTGTTGTCACTCAGTCCCAAGCCTCATACCGTTCTCTGCTGTATTTTGTAATTCTGCAACTGGGAGTCTGCAAACTACATTTCCTGAGAATTCCCTTGCCTACTGTCTTCTGGTTGTGTCCTGCCAATGAGAGACACTGTTGGGAGACTGGAAGGTGCGATGAGGAGATGAGGGTCTCTATAGCTGCTTCTGTTTCTGTCATCCTCCAGTAACAGCAGATATTTATGGCTCAGGCATCTTTTGGCACACTCGGCACCAACCTCATGGTGCCATCTTAGGGGTCCCTGCAGCAGCTACACAGAGGCTCCGCCTCTGCACTCCTTGGTAGGTAACTCTCCCTTCTCCTACTTGTTCCCCCAATTTTAGGGCTGATAGCTATTTCCTACATTTACTGATCTTTGGGTTATCTCAGTTTCCCCCTTTTGCTTCTAGCCTTCTAACACCTATGTGTCTACTTCCCTGTATCAAATTCCCTCTGTTTAAAACACCCACATAGTTTTCTATTTTCCTGACTATAACTTGACCTTCCAAATGGGTCTCCTCAAAGCATGCAATCAATCTATAAAAATAAGATATTATATTGCCTTGGTCAGGTAACTCAGTTGGTTAGAGCGTCATTCTGATATGCCAAGGTTGAGGGTTTGATCCCCTGGTCAGGGCACATACAAGAATCAACCAAGGAATGCACAAATAAGTGGAACAACAAATTGAGGTTTCTCTCTATCTCCCTTCCTCTCTCTCTAAAATCAATAAAGATTAAAAAAGTAAAAAATAATAATATAAAATAAATTTCAGTGATCTCATAAATACCACCTATTTGCAAGGAAATGATATCATACTTTAAGAAAACAAAGATAGGAGCAAGGTCTCTGGGGCACAATTATCAGGTGCCTCAGCCAGAGATAAATTTCCTTTTTTGAAGAGTTTTTGTAGGAATGAGTTCATGACATAGTTTCCTGTTTGGTTTCTACAGCTCTAACTGGCTCTGGAGAGCTCAGGAGGAAATGGTTTGTTGAACAGTCCATTTGCCCTTTTCTACGTAAAAACATAGCCACACTGAAGGCCAGTGATTAAAGCTTCGCCACAGAGCTAATTATTCTTGTTGAGCTGTGCCATGCGATTCCCACGCCCAGGCACCCCTGGGAGCTGCAGCATGGCTGCAGTCGCTCCAAGCAGGGGCCCATCTATCTGAACACTCAGAAGCTGTCCCCAGATAGAACAGCTGACCCTTTTGTATGTCCCACAGTCTCTCTTTTTCCCCAGGAGAGAAGGAATCACTTCTGTTTTATTTTCCCCCAAATGGATCTGGAAGCAAAAGTTATTGTGTTCATGTGATAAAGACTATTAGCTAGTCAGATATGGTAGCTTCTATTTATTGTGGATATACTACAGGCTAGCATCTTACATATGTTTCCTATTACATTAGAGCTCACAAATAACCGCCATGTGACAGCAGAGTAGGACGGGTCTATTTTATATCCTAATACACGAGAGTTTGCAGACATGAGTGCCCACGAGGGATTTGTTTTGCAGCTGTAGGAGAATTCACAGTAATGAAAATTATTGTATTCCTCTTAAAACCCTGAGTAGAGCAGAAGAAGGATGCAGGTTCCTTGGCATAGAGAGAGGGAAGATTATTAAAAGCAAGTCATATTTGGGGTTATCTGAAAGCAATAAAAACATAGAAGACTGGATTAGAGAATCTAACATGGGTAAATATACCACAAGGGACAGCACTGGAGCGGTGGAAGAAGACACTCCTATTATTCTTTACCTCATCTTGAAAATTTCAGTGTGCCAGGGTATGTTTTCTGATGTGTGTAATATATCTGAGCAGGAATACCTTAGAATGATTGAATTCCTGGAACTAATTCTTTATATCTTCCTTTATCCAAGCTCTTGGCTGAATAACTTTACAGGGCTTTCCTATAGTGAGCGGGCTACCTGCCCTGCCCTTGGGCTCTGAGTTTGGCCTTGTTGAAGAGAAGCTTACACAGTACTTGCATGACTGGGAGCTCACTCATCCTTTGCCATGTCTGCTGGAAAATGAAAGATACGTAGCTTAGTCTCCTCCTTCATTCCAGCCATCAGCCAGCTGACCATCAGATATGAGGCCAAATGAGAAGAATCTTCTAGTTGAAACCAGCCTAAATTGCTGACTCGCAAACTCCGTAGCTAAAGAAATACTTGGCATTTTAAGTCACTGAGTTTTGGGGTAGTTTGTGAAGCATCATTATTGTGGCAATAAATAGCTTAGAATTTATGAATAACTAAATACACATTGATCATGGATGTGTGCTCGATAATTTTAAATTCTGTCTGCATCATTTCAACAGTGTTCTTTTCTCTTTGTTCTACTGAGAATACAAACGCTTAGTGTACAATATGCAATGTTAGCAGAAGTATTAAGAAGAATTGGGTTAACAAGACATCAGTCTTGGGGAATAGAACAGTCCTCACATGTTCAACGGTAATTGTCCTTGTAGATTAGTCTAGAAATAAATACAAGTTATCAGTCTTTTATCTAATTCATAATGATTTTTACTAGTATAAATAATTCTCATAGAATAAAATGGACAAAGGCTATTGATAAAGGTTAAGGCTGGAAAATGATAAGGTTGAAATGTATACATTTTGGTTTGTGAAAATAGTGTCTGAGAGAGATAAAAGCCACACAAAAAACCCAAAACCTCATATTGGTAAAAGCAATCATTGGTAAAATTAATGGAAAACACTGGTCTTGAGTAACATAATTTCAGCTAATATAAAAAAAGGGGATCATTTGAAGGTTTTAAAACATCATTGTATATTAAGCCAATCAAGAAATTAAATGGGATCAATGGACATTCACTTCAGGGAATTTTTAGAAAATAAAAATCCAGAATTGACAACAAAATTTTCATAAAAAAATATTTACATTAATATACAAAAGGTAAAAAAAGTTTTGTGGGTTAAAATGACAGTATTAAAGAGTCAACTAGGTCCAGCCTATATTTGCCAGTCTTCTAAGATGTTTGAGTGAATGGGAACTTGACTTTCTAAAACTTGGAATTATATCACCAGCATGTAGATTTGCTCTTTTCCCTTCCTACCTTCCTCACCTCCAAAGTAAATGTCATTTGCTGGGGGACAAGTCACCCTCCATCAGCTCCATCTGTACACACAGCTTATCTACTATGGAGATGACCTTTTGTCATCTGGAGTATGATCAGAGGCGTGGCATTTGGCTAGCTTGTTCAGAAGAGCCTCCCGTCACCCCTTCATGGGAGAAAGCTCACAGATCCTGTGGTGCACATGAGCACTCACTTTCCAGGGAAGGCAGGCAGGCAGGTGAACTGCAGAGTTCTCCATCTTCCGCTTGAGAAATGAAACTGAGGGTGGGGAATGAGCTTTCATGGCTCATTATTTAGGGTCACAGATAATTATTACCAGACCTGATCCTAGAATTGAAATAGAAATCTTCCATCCCACGAGACTACATTGTTAGTCGCCCTGGGTTGGTTCATCTCAGAAGTTCACCTGAGCCTTTGGGTTCTGACACATCCCATAGTTAATGTGGGAAATACTGACTTTCTAACACGGGAAAAACTTGTTATATTTGCTTAATGTCTTTAAAGGCATTATAATAATCTACTTAAGAAAATACCTGGAACAGACTGACAGATGTCAGAAGGGAGGGACATGAGAGGGTATGGATAAAAGGTGAAGAGATTAGCTCAGGAACATATATGCATAGCCTGTGGACTCGGACCACAGTGTGGTGAAGGCCAGGGGAGGAGGGGTGGAGGCTGGATGGAGGTGGGCAAAGGAAGGAAACTGGGACATATGTAATAGTGTCAACAATAGGGGGAAAAAAGTACGGAAACCATACACCTAGTTCTTTCCTGTGTGCACATGTCAGCTTATTCAACAACTGGAGAAGACCCAATCAGCATTTCCAGGGCTTCAGGGATTCTCCAGGGATTTAGTCTAGCATCCCAGAAAAACAGATATGTGAGTAGATGGCATAAATATTGTTATAAGAAGGCAAGCTCCAAAGAAAGCAATGACAAAAATAACTAGCATATTACTGTCCAAGGCCTGCAGAAGAGCTAAAGCATGGAAGGGGCAGTGCTGGCTGTGGACAGGGTGTGAGTTTTGCACTTGGCCAGGCTTGGCCTTCAGTCCTCACTCTGGATTTAGCTGTGTGTCTGCACTCAAACTCTCTCCACCTCAATTCCTCTTTCTATAAAATGAGGCAATAATACCAGGTCCTGAAAGACTTTCAGTGACATTGGAGCAACTTTCAGTGTTAGATGCTCCTTTACATACGCAGATTTAGCGGGAATCAGTGGGATTTCAGTCAGGGCTGACAGTGTTCAGGCAAGTCTCACTTCCCTTCCAGAATAAAGGTATAATTTCCTTAAAAACAACAACAACGGAAACCAAGTCCAATTTGTCCTGTTTTAATACAAATAGCGATCCTAACTACCTCACAGGGTTAAGATAAAGTTATAAGCTACTTAGGATAATAGATCTTCAATGAGTGGCAATTAACAAGAGTGATTACGAGGAAGCTTCCCACAGACATCGACAAGGAATCTTGCTTAAAATCTGCCTGTTAAGGGTTTTAAAACTAAATCTAGACTCAGGGATTCCTAGGATCAAGTCAAGGTCAGTTACTCGCTAGACTACAGGGTTTCTGCCTTTCCCAGCCTGTAATACCCTCCTGTTTTCTTAGCTGGAGGCAGCGACGCGATGGTCCTTGTGCAAGGCAAAGGAAAGAGCAGGGGATGAAGAAGGTAGCTGGTAATCAGGGAACGGGAGGCCGGGGAAGGAGGGTGGGGAGGGCCAAGGCCACGGTACTCACGGCGGCCCACCACCAGGCGTGCGGGATGCTGGTGAAGTTGGTGCCGGGCACGTCGTGCTCCACGGAGTAGACGGCCGCGGAAAAGGAGAAGATGCCCATGGCGATGAAGAGCAGCAGGCAGCCCACCTGCTGGTAGCACTGGCGCAGCGTGAAGCCGAAGGCGCGCAGGCCCGTGGAGTGGCGCGCCAGCTTGAGGATGCGGAAGATGCGCATGAGGCGCATGACGCGCAGCACCTGGCCCACCTTGCCCACGGTCTCCAGGTCGCGGTCGCGGGACGAGCCCCTGGCGCGCCGCTGGTCCTCGTCGGTGAAGCGCTCGAGCAGCAGCTGCAGGTAGAGCGGCAGGATGGCCACCAGGTCCACCAGGTTGAGGGCGCTGCGCGCGAAGCTCCGCAGGTCGGGCGTGGAGACCAGGCGCAGCAGGAACTCGAGCGTGAAGAAGGCGATGCACAGCACCTCCACGTGCTCCAGGACGGGCCAGCGGCCGCCCTCCGCCTGCGGGTGCATCTCCTCCACCGTGTTGAGCGCCAGCGCCACGATGGAGACGAGCACGAAGAGGCTGGAGGCCACGCCGATGACCTTGGCGGCCACCGACGAGAAGGGCTTCTCCATGAGGTTCCAGAGGCGCTGCCGCTGCGGCCCGTAGAAGCGCACGTCGCGGAAGAGCTGCTCCGCCTCCTCGGCGCGCGCCTGGGCGCGCAGCTCGCGCTGGATCTTCAGCCGCTCGCCCAGCTCGTCGCGTCGCTCCTCGAAGCAGATGCGGCAGCAGCGCGGCGTGTGCTTGAGCCGCACGCCCCAGTAGCCCAGCTCCTCCAGGAAGCTGCGCGGGCACAGCTCGTCGCGCACCAGCAGCACCCCGGACAGGTAGAAGTTGTAGATGAGCTGGAAGACGGCGGGGTCGCGGTCGAAGAAGTATTCGTCCGCCCGCGCCTCGTAGTCGTC